ACACACACACACACACACATACACACACACCGCATCAGTTGTGTATGTAGCACTCACGTTGATGACGCTCTGCTGCAGACTCATGAATGTGGGCACGTTCATGTTCACCGCAGAGTTCACCAGTCCACGGATGAAGGAGGAATCAGCTCCACCTGCAGCAACACCGCACCAGTGTGTGTTCACGAGTGTGTGTCTATATGAGGATGTGTGTGTGTGTGTGTGTGTTTACCGAGGTAGTTCTGCAGCAGCTGGTATGTGCTGACGCTGATGGTGTTTGCGCGTGTTGCTGAGCTGAAAGCGTTCACGGCGATACTGAACAGAACTGAAGCCTTCTCTGAGCTGCAGTTGGTCAAAGAGAGGGCCGTCGCTCGCCTTAAACACACACACACACACACACACACACACACACACACACACACACACACACACACACACACACTTTGGAGTTAAATAATGTTTTAAAAGCAACACAATATATATATATACACGTGTGTGTGTGTGTGTGTGTGTGTGTGTGTGTGTGTGTGTGTGTGTGTGCACTCACTGCAGGCTGCTGGCGGTGATGTTGCTCAGTACACTAGTGTTCAGGGCACACAGGTTTGTTCCCCCGAGTGCGTTCAGCTCATTGGTGCCGAGAGTGTTTCCCTTCACACTCAGGTACTTACTGACGAGCAGCTGGACCTGCGGGAACACACACACACACACACACTGTTGATGTTTCCCATTCTTCGCTATATTAAACACAACATCAACACAATTATTTGGGTCCAGCAGGTTGATGAGGGCTCATCTGTCGGTTCTCCTGAAGAGTGCGGTGCTGGATATCATCAGCAGGAGGACACAGGAGCAGACTCAGTCATCAGCACAGAGAACACACTCGGGTCGTTCAGCCGTCCGTGAGTATTAGAACTGAACACTGGCGGGCGATGGTGGCGATACACAGCGACGGTTTAAGAACAAACATTGGGTCACATCCTTTAAAGACACAGTACCTCATTTACTCCACTAGAGGGTGTGTATTCCACAAACAAAAGTGTGTTTTGGTGACAGAGTGACTGAATGTGAAACACACACACACTCACACACACACACTCACACACACACACACACTGACGGTCACACATGTTGGGATTGGTGTTTTATGAGGACTCTCTATAGGTGTAATGTCTTTTATACTGTATCTTTATGGCTTATATGTACTTTTAACCAACCAATACTGAATGTCAACAGACCCCGCTAGGTGTGATTTTTACATGTGGATTACACAGACATGTCCTCATAAACCCGCTCAAGATCATGAACATACCATTCATTCATTCTCTTTTCGGCTTAGTCCCTTTATTAATCAGGGATCGCCACAGCAGAATGAACTGCCAACTTATCCAGCATATGTTTTACACAGCGGATGCCCTTCCTGCTGCAACCCATCACTGGGAAACACCCATACACACTCATTTACACACACATACACACTCTGGTCAATTTTAGCATACCCAATTCCCCTATAGTGCATGTGTTTGGACTGTGGGGGAAACCGGAGCATCTGGAGGAAACCCACGCCAACACGGGGAGAACATGCAAACTCCACACAGAAACACCAACTGACCCAAATTTCTATTTTTGTAAACCACTAAAACCTAGTACACACACACACACACACACACACACACACACACACACACACACACACACACAGTACCATGCTCGGGTCCCAGTCTCCGTTGGCTGGGTCCATCAGTGCTGAGAGCGTGTCGATCCTTGTGATGTTCCACCCAGCGATGTCATTGGCCGTGGCGATACGAGAGGAGGAACCTAGCACCTGCAGTACTAGGTCAGGTACTCCGCTGGGGTACGCCTGCAGAACACACATACACACACGTCATTTTTCTGACCACAAACACACACACACACATGCACACACACACACACAGACTCACACACACACATGCACACACACATGCACACACACACACACACACACACACACACACACACACACACACACACACACACACACGCGCACGCGCACGCACGCACACACGCACACACACACACACACACACACACACACACGCGCACGCACGCACGCACGCACGCACACACACACACACATGCACACACACACACACACTGATCTCAGACCTGCTGTAGTTTGTCCAGGATGATGCGCTGGTAGCTGCTGTCGTACACACGCTCCGTCACCGCCTGCAGGTTTCCCACCAGTGTGTTGGCGCTCAGACAGGCGTTAAACTGCGTCAGGTCATAGGCGAACGGGAACAGGTCACTGAACACCTGAGGCTGCAGAATCTGGCCCGCGGTGCAGGACGCGTCTGACAGAACAAGATTACACCGGATTAAAGACATGCTGGATCCCTGACCACTGTCGATCCATCATTAAAGACTCGTTCAGCTGATGCTCAAACCCAGAGCCCGACCCACAGCATAACCGAGACTGCTCTATTACAGACAAAGCAGAGCCAGGAGAGCTCAGAGTAGAGCCGGACAGGTGGATCAGCCGCCGGTGTGAAGCGCAGCACTGCTGAAGGAGACTGAAGGAGTTATTCTGAGAAAACAACCGGCTGAATGAACTTTATCCTGATTATCACACACATACTGGACACAACACACACACACACACACACACACACACACACACACACACACACACACACACACACACACACACACACACACACACACACACACACACAGCTCTGAGCCGTGCAGCAGCTTTAGCATGACGCAGCCCTGCTGTCGGTGATGTTTCTGCTGGAGTAAAGGTGATGTGTGTGTGTGTGTTTGTGTGTGTGTGTGTGTGTGACTCTCACCTGTGGATCTCTTGATCCTGATGCGTAACACACTGTTGACCTGATTCATCATGTAGATGACCTGCTTCTGTGGAACAGCGCTATTCTTCCTCAGATCACGCAGGAACGTCTTCAGAAACGTCTGCTTGTCCGTCTAACACACACACACAAACACACATTCAGTGTAATGAGTAAAACACACACACACACACACACACACACACACTCACACACACTCTTGTACCGTTGTGAATTTGCTCCAGATGTTGTTGGAGACGTAGAGCATCAGCATGTTGAGGTTCTGCAGGGTGGTGATGTTCCAGCTGCTGGAGGGTCTGAGAGAACATCAGAGTCAGTCTCCGCTCCTGTGTGTGTGTGTGTGTGTGTGTGTTTATCTGTGTGTGTGTGTGTATACCCGTAGCTGGTGTTCCTCTGCAGCAGCACTGTTTCGATGGCGCTGCTCTGTGCAGTGTTCAGTGTGGAGCAGAGTTTGAGTTTCTCCAGCACAGACGGGTCAGAGTTCAGGATGTAGTCTGCGCTCAGGAAACAGCACATGTTGCCCAGCACATCCAGCTGACTGCGGGCGATGCTGGAGCCAGAGACGCCCTGAAACACACACACACAAACACACACACACAAACACACACACAGGTTTTTTCAGAAATTGTATAAGTGTATGTTTCACTCATAACTGCGTGAGTTAGTGTGTGTCAGTATGTGTAAATGTGTTTGTATATGCGTGTTAGTGTGTGTGTGTGTGCGCGCACCAGGCATTGTAGCGCGCTGTTCAGCAGGATCTGCTTCTTGAAGGACAGTGTGCTGGACAGGACAGAGAAGTTGGCCGTCCCCACAGCAGAGAAATACGAGCGGCACACAGAACTGTTGATCACAGAGTAGCTGAAACACAACAAACACACGTGTGTGAGGATGCAGAATCATGCAGGCGTGCTGAAGTCACACACACACCGTCCTGACGTACTTATAGTAGAGGAGCACCTCAGGCGGATACTGGAGAAGGCATACAGGTCTGAGCTCTTGATGTACTGGTACATACAGGTCAGCTGGAAGAGAAATACACACACACACACACACACACACACACACACACACACACACACACACACACACACACACACACACACACACACACACACGTCAATCACAGTTACTATGTCAAACAATGATTTTATGCTATGATGTTTTATGTTTGCATTTGCAACTGTGTGATTTTGTTTGTGACATTATGATTGTGATTCTGGGATGTGATAATTTTGTGATTTTATGATTGGGTCATTTTATGCTTGGGATGTTGTAATGTTCCATGGTGTGATAACGTCTCTGTGATGTTATGATTGTGATTCTGTGATGTTATAACATGTTTTTGTGATTTTATGGTTGTGATTCTGTGATAACATGTCTCTGTGATGTTATGATTGTGATTGTGTGATGTGATAACGTTTCTGTGATGTTATGATTGTGGTTATGTGATGTGATAACATGTCTCTGTGACGTTATGATTGTGATTCTGTAATAACATGTCTCTGTGACGTTATGATTGTGATTCTGTAATAACATGTCTCTGTGACGTTATGATTGTGATTCTGTAATAACATGTCTCTGTGACGTTATGATTGTGATTCTGTAATAACATGTCTCTGTAATGTTATGATTGTGATTGTGTGATGTGATAACATCTCTCCGTGATAATGATTGTGGGATTTTATGCTTGTGATGTTGTGATTGCATGATTTTATTTATATGATGTGATTGTGTGATGTGATAATTCTGTGACTGTGGGATGTTGTAAAAGCAGGAGTGATGTTGTGATTGTGTGATGTGATAATTCTGTGACTGTGGGATGTAGTAAGAGCAGGAGTGATGTTGTGGATGTGTGATGTGATTGTTGTGATAACGTGTGATAGCTTGATGTGTGATAGTGTGATGTTATGATTGTGATTGTGATTGTGTAATGTTGTGTTAGGTTGATTTTGTGATGTTGTGTGTCCTTCACCTGTGATTCCTGCAGGATTAGCGTCTGGTTTGCGCGTCTCCTGCATCCCCGGATCAGATTCATGATTTTATCTGTGCTGAAGTTCTGGAGTCGTGAAGATGTGAAACCCTGCAGGACCTGGTAGGAAATGCTACACACACACGCGCGCGCGCGCACACACACACACACACACACACACACACACACACACACACACACACACACACACACACACACACACACACACACACACACACACACACACACACACACACACACACACACACACACATTAACACAGCTAACTCCACCATGCTAGCGGCTAACAGTGGCTCTCTTCACTCACGTGTCTGCGTTGCTGAACTGCGAAGCCACAGACTCAAAGATGAAAACAGCCTGAGGAGGAAACACAACATCGGAATGGCATTTAATCAAACGTCTGTGTTATTAATATTAACAGACGGATGTAGTGTTAGGATATCGGCTGTTCATCTGTACTCATCGAGCAGACATCACTGTCTTCTCCCAGATATTCCTGCTAATCAACAGGAGTGAGGAAACTCATTGGTGATCAGTGGAGACGTGTTCCCTAATCTACAGAGTTGCCTTATATTTATTGTGCATAACATACAGTTATAGATGAAATTATTCACCCTCCTGTGAAATTCTTTTTCGAGTATCTCCTGAGAGCTGTTAACAGATTTACATCAACACGCTTTTTCAAGAGAATGGATTTACCTCTGACTCTTTAATATTCCGGCGTCTGCTCTGTATTATCCAGACTCTGCTACGAATGCCCACATCGGCAGTCCTCTGGGAATGGGTTGGAGATGTACGCTGTGTCTCTTACAGCTTCTTCCAACTTTCGGTTTTCCAAAAACTGATCCGCAAAGGTGGAAAAATCCCTTTGACTTACCACTGGACCAAACTTTGACACATCATAACTCTCAATGAGAAATGTCTTGCACATCTGAAGAGGCTGTCGAGCTGTGTAAAACTACTCATTAAACAGGGGTGGGGGGTGTGTGGTAGCCCTGGGTACCCCCTGACATAAGTGTGGATTTCAAGAGGATCATGTGCTTATGATCAACACAGCTGGCACTACATCAGCTCTGTATCTGCCCTATTAGCTGATTACGGACGCATTATAAATAATCAGAGCTTTTCACTCCAGTTATCTTCATCTTGAAGTTTCCCCTCTTCCACCCCTACTACCCACCCCTTTTCCCGATATAGTGACACGGTAGTCGAGTGGCTAGCACTGTTGCCTCACAGCAAGAACACCACTGATCTGACCTCCTATCAGGCCGGTTGGCGTTTCTGTGCAGAGTTTGCATGTTCTCCCCGTGCTCACATGGTTTACCCCTGGGTTCCCCGGTTTCCTCCCACCGTCCAAAAACATACACCACAGCCAATCGATTAATCCAAATGATCACCTGAGAAAATCTTAGTTTACACTTCACACACAGCGACAAGCAGGGGAGGTCCCGAGATCTACCTGAGCTCAAACTTCCCTCTTGCCCTTTCAACGGGAGGGAACCCCGGGCTTGAGGATATTACGTGCTCAGGGCTCTCTCCCGGGACAGCATGCCAAACATGCTTTATTGATCATCAGCAAGTGTCAACTCTTGTAACAGCATTTAAACGTTGACTCTATTCCAGCCAAACAAACAAAAGAAGAAAAACACACACACACACACACACACACACACACACACACACACACACACACACTGACCTGCTCGTGTCTCCACCTCTTCTGGTTGATCCGCTGTGCAGACGCAGGCGAGGGCGTCACACTCAGCAGGAGGCTGCGCGGGATCTGCTGCGACACCAGATCCGGAACGTTCGAGATCACAGCGTCAGACGAGCTGTTCACACTGATGATCTGAGCAGAACCAGAGAGAGTGTGTGTGAGGGAGTGAGAGAGACCATGTGTGCGTGTGTGAATGTGTAAGTCTGTGTGTGTATCTGTGTTTGTGTGCGTGTGCATGTACATGTGTGTGTGTGTTACCTGGCTGACGTAGCTCTGCTGGACGATGGTGGGAGCACTGGCCACATTGGTGACGAATGCGCTCGAGCTGGCCGTCTGCAGCAGCACGTCTGCTGAGAGCGCAGTGATGACGGAGGACTGAACACCCACGATCAGAGAGCCCAGCTGCTCCAGACTGGCAGCACTGTTGATCTGAAACACACGCAGGTTCAGTAACATCACACAGCAGGTTACTCACACAACAACACGTCTGGGCCCCGCACCAGGAGCCCAGCTCCCCTAAAGCCTTCTGAGGTGCAGCTCAGTTATTAGAGGAGAACGAACAGCTCAGAGGAGAATCCCCACAGTGCAGCAGACTCCACTTCCCTCAGTGATGTCTGTGCAGGAGCTGAGGAGGAGATGCTCTACTGTGCAGCACTCATCTCCTCACTGATGATAAGCAGACATTACAGTTCTGCTCGTGACTCTACTGCACGTCTTTGGGTGGAAGCTCAGCTGCAGAAATGAAAGTATTGATTCAGCACTGACTCTGGATCAGTGTGTACCTTGTAAACTCCAGACGCCAGCAGTGTTTGTATGATCATCATGGCCTGATCCAGGTTCCAGCCGGTGATGTTACTGAGCAGTGACAGCGCCCCCAGCAGGACACTGCCTGTAGAGGTGCTGATCTGTGCTGTGCTCAAACCCACACACGACTGACCCAGAGCTGAGATGGAGTTTTCTGTCAGAACCTCCAGATTACTGGCCAGAGCCGCAGACACCTGCACACACACACATGCACATAGTCACACACACACACACACACAGTCACACACACACACACACACACACACACACACACACACACACACACACACACACACACACACTGCATGCTCACACACGCACTCTTTCTTTCTCTCTCTCATAGACACACACACACACACTCATGTAGATGAAGATATAAGACTTTCACGCACACAAACACACACAGTCACTAATACACACTCACACAAACCAATACATTATGTCTGGTACACACACATGCATTCACACACACTCACACAAACACACACACATTCCTGTACGTACCTCTTCTGGGATGTCGGAGCAGGTCTCCTGGATGTTAGCGGAGACATTCTTCAACTGTACTGAGGTCAGCTGAGTGAAGGATCCAGCAGGAGCCAAGCAGAGGAACTTCAGCGGGAGACTGAAACACACACACACACACACACACACACACACACACACACACACACACACACACACACACACACACACACACACACACACACACACACACACACACACACTGACCTGCTCGTGTCTCCACCTCTTCTGGTTGATCCGCTGTGCAGACGCAGGCGAGGGCGTCACACTCAGCAGGAGGCTGCGCGGGATCTGCTGCGACACCAGATCCGGAACGTTCGAGATCACAGCGTCAGACGAGCTGTTCACACTGATGATCTGAGCAGAACCAGAGAGAGTGTGTGTGAGGGAGTGAGAGAGACCATGTGTGCGTGTGTGAATGTGTAAGTCTGTGTGTGTATCTGTGTTTGTGTGCGTGTGCATGTACATGTGTGTGTGTGTTACCTGGCTGACGTAGCTCTGCTGGACGATGGTGGGAGCACTGGCCACATTGGTGACGAATGCGCTCGAGCTGGCCGTCTGCAGCAGCACGTCTGCTGAGAGCGCAGTGATGACGGAGGACTGAACACCCACGATCAGAGAGCCCAGCTGCTCCAGACTG